ATACAAATCACTGGGATACACCTGGCTCGGCAGCAGAGAGAGAGAGAGAGAGAGAGAGAGAGAGAGAGAGAGAGAGAGGGGGGGGGGGGGCGGGGGGCGGGGCAGAGGGAGGGGCTGGGATTAAAGGCGTGCACTATCGCTGCCTGGCAACGCCATTCATATGTTAATGAAAGACCTATCGATTTCCTCCCAAGGGAACGAATGGAGAGACCTTCCTTTATGCAAATGCATCATCTTGGGTGGGGGTGGGGGTAGAACTTTGTAGGGAGCAAGCAGAGGCTTGCTTAGCTTAAGGGCTCTCCTGAAGTGTCCAAAAGAGAAGCTACTGACATCTCAGTCTTCTCCAAGGATGACGAAGGTACCCTTCTGATTTCTCGGGCTCCTCTCTGCATCTGAATTGTAGGCCATCAGGTGTGTCTAGTAGTACATACATCTCTACTAAAGTGCCCTGCCCTGCTCTTGGTGGGTGTCCTTAGGGAGGGCTCCTGGTGTTGGGGATTTTGCCCCCGACTCCCACCCCCACTGCACCAAAGAATTATTTTCTTTAAAGAGCCTAGGCTACCGTCATAGGAGTTTTTGTCCTCTACAAGATTTCACAAAGGGAAATGTCGAGAAACATTAGGTAGGTACTTACGTAGGAAGGAAGGAATGAAACTTTAAAAAATGTGCTGGACAAGTGTGGTCTGTCTGCAATGTTGTCAGGTTGTAACCTTGTCAAATGGCAACGGTCACCAAACGGTGGTCCATGCCACATCCCTTCCTCTTGAACCATATGCCCTCTTTCACTGTATACTCAATAATGTAAACAAATAAAGAAAGAAAGAAAAGATTCCAGTGGTTTATTGACTTTTAATTTCATTGGATCTAGCTACTTCCTCCCTCAATTCCCCAGCCACTTATTGCTGCTCGCTTGCACATGTGGTGTGTGTGTGTGTGTGTGTGTGTGTGTGTGTGTGTGTGTGTGTGTGTTGGTGGTGGTGGTGGGGGGGGGGGGGGGGGGGGGCAAAGTGTACTACATTTATCTGCCTGTCTGCCTATTAGTCTTGTGAACCAAGTGCGAATGTCAGGTGCACCCAGAGGACATGAGGAGGGTGTTGAACTGGAAGAGAGAGCAGCCAGTGATCTTTCTTAACTTGACATCTGTCTGAGGCACGTCTCCAATTGCAAGTTTTCAGTTTTGGACAGGATTTCAGTGGGAATATTTGACAAATCACAGTCTGTGAGGTACCTGTATTCACAAGCTCCCCCACCACACACACCCCAACCCACCCCACACCCAACACACACACACACACACACACACACACACACACACACACACACACCAACCTCCACAGTTTTCCTGCCTGTCAAATAACTGAAAACAAAACAAAATAAAATAAAATAAAAAACAAAATTATAAGATAAATTGGGGAAAAAAAAAAAAAAAAAAAAAACCCTCACAGAAAAAGGACTGTGCTCACCCAGACTCCTGCCAGCTCGACAATCATGCATTTCTCCAAAATTAGGTTTGATTTGCTTTGATTTATTAATTGCCAGACTTTGTGGGCAGAGCAGAGGGGCTCATCTCGGTGCTGAAAATTTTCACTCGTGTTTACTTATCTGACTGTAAATTCCCACTAATTATATCTTTCATCCAAAATAACTACTTGTGATTCTTCTTGTTTCTTTGTTTTCCTGCCTTCCTTAAACTGTGTAGGCTGGAAAAGAACTCAGGAGTGGCAGGATCATGACCCAAAGGTTCAGGCAGGACTCACTCATTCAAACAAAAGAGAATATTAAGAACAACAAAAGGAGACAGACCATCCCAGGTGCCTGGTATCAATACAGGGTTCACTGGGATACAGAGTATTAAACTGGTGCTGCCATTTGGGTTTATCTTCCTTGAGGTTACACATGGTTGGTTGCTTCCATCCTTGCTGGGCCAGCCACACCCTTACAGAAGAATTTAGAACTGTGACCTAGAAAGTGTCTGGAGCATACTGGAGCATAATTTATGCCCCCCCCCCACACATTCTCTCTCTCTCTCTCTCTCTCTCTCTCTCTCTCTCTCTCACACACACACACACACACACACAAACCCTGTCTCCAATCAAGAAGGAAGTAGTGGAGGAGGAGGAGGAGGAGGAGGAGGAGGAGGAGGATTTGGAATAAAACAAAGAAACAAGGGAAGATTGTGGTGTCTGATTTATAAGGGAGAGTTTTGGTGGGATAAATAGGAAAGCCTCATCCTCACTTTGCCTGCTCTGCCTTCACAGTCTCCTCCTTCCTCCTGCTGCCCATACAGCCCTCTTCCTCTTCCCAAGGTTCAGCACGCCATTAGACAAATTGGGCACTGCCTGAAGATTCTCAAGTGTGTGTGTGTGGGGGGGGGGGGGGCCGCTGGCCCTTGTTGAAAAACACAGACAAGTGTATGGCCCAGGCTCAGGCCCAGTCATGGGAACCGAGGGGTTAGTATGACCATGCAATCATGGGAGTACACCAAACCTATCTGTCTGCC